AGAGAGGGATAAATAGGGGAATAAATGAGGAAGTCAATCGATGACAGGTGAGCAATTATGTTTAATGGAATAAACAAGAGGGTGGGGATAATGCCACAATGACAGCAGAGCTGTCAAAACAAACCATGAGCACCAAGACAACGACCGAGACAACAAAACTGGGCTGATCAGACCAAAAATAAAATCAGCTGAGATTTTTCTTGCAGTCATGCCACTTGCTGAGGTCATGTGACAACAATGTTACATAGACAGATACTAAACATAGACTGACAACATAAATGTATCAAACAGTAATACTACTGTTTGATACATTTATTATTTGCATAATTCACACATACTTTATGAACTGTTTGCTGCACAGTTTTCAGTAAGCTAATATTCCTTAGTGAACATAGCCAAAACATACAGCATGTGTCTTTCTTGCATGTTGAGGATCATCTCTGTGTGTATGCTGCCCCCTAGGCCCTGTGTGTAATGTTTTGAATGGACTATCAAACTGTTGAACTCTGTTTTTGCATTTTGTTCTAATAAGGGAATACATTTGAAAACATTAAACGCAGGATAAAAACATTGGAGTTTAGTAATGTAAAATTAGATTTATAAAAGGCTTTTCTATTTCTATTTTCACCCATGTAGGAAACAGAAAGCACCACTAGGGGACAGTCTGTGTTCATCATGATGCAGTTATTGCATGTTGATTGCACGAATGGCATCCATCAGACATCCAATATAATTAATATACGATTTTAGCACCACACACATACAGTGTTTATCATTACAATCTAAGAATCCAGATACGGTTTGTGTTCCTTCTTTGTGTGCCAAGAGTTTGATGCAGAACTGGGAACTGAAATAAAAGCTTTTAGATTATAGTCCTGCATGACTGACCTTCTATCCTCTGTGTTGTGACCACAAACCTACTCTTGCGTTGTGTCCCTGAGAAAAGCATTGTGTCGCTTTTGTGAAATGGTTCTGTTCCACTGAAAGTCATTGAAAGAACATATCAAATGAGTTTCTGATAGACAACTGGCTAATATAAGGCAAAGAGATAGCCTACACATAGCAAGAAAAATTACGGAACTGTCAAAACATCAAGCATGTGTAAAATACAAATGGCTTATCATTATTCAAAATACTACATATACACACTACCATTCAACAGTTTGGGGTCAGTAATTAAATGTTTTTTAAAGAAGTCTTTTATGGCTGCTTTTGACCAAAAAATCCTGTAAAAACTTGTGGAAAATAAAAGTGAAATTTTTACAACATTTTAAAAACATTTTCTATTTGAATAGCCTGTATTTTAAAACATAATTTATTCCTGTGTGATGGCAAAGCTGAATTTTCAGTATCATTACTCCAGTCTTCAGTCACATGATCCGTCAGAAATCATTATGTGCTGATTTGCTGCTCAAGAAACATTTCTTAATATCAATGTTGAAAACAGTTGTGTTGCTTAACATTGAACAACTGAACAAATGATGTTACCACAGTCGCCCAAGATAAGAAGGGTTACACACACTTAACACACGGCCCAAGTAAGCTTTACTTAATCTCCATTTACTGTATGCAGGCACTACATGCATCACACTAATGACCACATCTGCATGCCATCTCAGTATTAAAGGTATTCCGAAATGGATGGCGTATGCATTTCTCATCAGAATAAAAAAGCCTTCAATCAGATGATTATGGTTGTTGGTCATACACGCTGCTCCTCAGTTAAGGGGAGGATGTTAGGACAATATGCTAAAGATACATGTTAGAATCTACACTTTAAATATGTAAGCCCAATTTATGTTTTATAATTCAGATTCCCCCTCTTTTAAGCATCTTCAGTTATTTGAGGCTAGAGGAATCTTAGAGCAGCTGATAATGGTTAGCTGTGGGCTGCCATTTGAATTTGAATTTCAATTTCAGGAGCATTCATTGCACACACATAGCCCTCTTAATCTGACTGAACACAAGTGAATGCAGGTTGTTGACAAAGCTTTTACCAAGCTACTGGAATTTTAACGATGGGTCGCCACATGCTTTCTAATGATATTTTGCTCTGACGGGTTGTTCGTATTGTTCAAATACTTGACAAGGTAAAACCTGATTAACAACTGTTGACAAAAGTATGGAGAAACCTAAAGTCCTACAAAAGTAAGCTAAACCACCGTGATGTGACATTTAAATAAACATAATAAAACATTTTTGTTGAAACAGATAAATTGAGATTTGATTTGAGAAATCTAAATTAAAATACAAGGGATTGCTGGAAGAAATAGTCATTTTTACACTTCACTCATTAAAGTAAGTTAAAGATTATATATATATATATATATATATATATATAAGATTACAATGTCTTATCACATTCAATTTCAGCATTCTTATTCAATTTTAGGTTTTGGCCCAATTTTCCCTTAATTTATGTTATAAAACAATGCATAAAGATCAGGCTTCTTAGCAAAAGTCCAGTATTATGTTTTATATATATAAATTATTATTATCAGTGTTGAAAAGATTTGCACTACTTAATGAACAAATTAAACAAACTAACAAATTATAATGATTGTTACCACAATTGCCCCAAGAGAGGTTACACACACACATTAAGGACAGTGTAACACATAAAAGCAAAAGTCCAGGCTATTATCTGTTTTATAATAAAATATGTTATTTACTTGCAATTTAACCAAGCTAAATTGCAACTGAACTTAACAGATCAGCATACATTTCCATAGTTTTTTTCTACAATAATCTATTTTTTTGCTTGTTTGTTTATTTGTTTGTTTTTTCAAAGTTGCATTCACAATCCACTTGGTTTAAAAATGAGTGCCCTTCACTTTTAATGAACATGACACTTCTTCTAAATAAATACAAAAGTAAAAATTAACCAAGAGTGCCATGTAGAAAAATCCTCTATTTCAATACTGCTATAAGGAGATAGTGCTGATGAAATCTCTGGTTATTTATGCTGCAGCGCCACAGACGAAACAATAGCAAAACAAACAAAAGAGGGACAACGAGGCCACATTCAGCCTGTTATGACACCACATGATGACTGTGAGCCTCTGGCCTTAGAGAGAGGTGGCAATCGGTGGTAAATATCATGCTAGGTCACAGCTGTAGCAAAGCGCTAGGCTTAAACCGCTGCATTAGAAAAGCATGAGTCAAAGGGATGAAGAAACTTGCTGCCTTTGTGTTGTGGAGGGAGGCATGCAGGGGGAATGATTACAGTCAATGAACCCCACTACCATGTCGCAGCATCCCTCCAGCGAGAGAGACAGAGCTCAAACATGGCTTGCTTTCATAGCCCAATGTTCTGCTCCACTCCTGCCAGGGAAAGAGAGAGAGAGAGGCGCTATAGAAAGGGCATTCATCAATGCCTCTTTTGTCAGGCATGCAAAATGGAAATTAATGAAGGCGTTCATGAGAGGGTCTGATGTTATTAGTGTAACTTCAGGAAACAACATGGAAAATTAAATTCACCTCCTTATTGTTGCCTGGGGTGCCATTTTGTTTCAATCCAGGTCCTCACAGGAAAAAGCAAGGCTTTTATACCGCCACAGCTCGACAGTCTTGTGCTTTCCTCACATGAACAGATAACCCCTCCCATTAGTCATTAGATCAACTGAGAAATTATCTTCATGTCATGCAAAGCCGGAGGGAGGATTTGCTAATCCTACATTTCTTGGGGTAAGGGGAGTAGGGGAGGGGGTGTGCATTGTGTAAACATTGTTTAACAGGCACTCAAATGCTATTACAAATAATTTATAATTACCCTAAAAACACATTCAATTTCAGAACAGCAAGAGTTGGCAGCCATTTTGTGGCTTAAATAACAGACACGCCTTCCTCTGGTTACTAAAATCAACAGCCACTTATAAAAGCTGTTCAAGATAACAGCATATGTCACTTTAAGTGTATTTTAATGCAGCGCTATGTGGTTGCAAGGGTGTTGCTATGGTGGGTGTTTTTTGGGGGGGGGGGTTTTTGGGAAAATGATAACCTTTCAGTGATCAGTTCTTAATTTTTTTTTTCATTGTCAACATATTAATAATCTAAATAACCTTTTCCAGTAAAATGAATCTTTTGTGCATTGGAAAGGTTAATGGATGTTAAAGGTCCATAGATACCAATAAAGAACCTTTCACTTTGAGTGTGTATTCAGGTTATTACAAGTGGCTCAGGTACTGTATGTTTTCGAGAATAAAGAAGCAAAAACACATTTCCTTAATAAGGCACACAGTTTAAGGTATCATTCATGTCTGCACTTTACATGTGCACCAAAGTTGAATAAGTATGAGAAATGCCTTAGCAATCACCACAAAGACCAGTTCAGTGCTTTCGATTGCATCGAGTCTTTTCTGTAAACTGCAGAGAAAAGTGGGTGAAAACATTAGGTTTCACGTAAGTGTTCCAGCTTGTGACCCATGGATCCCTTGAGCTTGTTTATGAGTTAGGTGCTCCAGGGACCGAGGGGGCCTCTAGTGCAGCAGTCTGGACTTTCTAAACATTTGTGATGAATTAGATCATTTCCTCTTGCCCTGAGAAAGCAAGCAGCACAAATGACTAAATTAAAGGCACCTACCCTCCTGCAGACAGCCATGCTCTGCAAAGAGACAAGGGCTACAATGAGAGAGCAAAAATAGGGTTGTGAGAATACAAGACTTGACAGCTGTTTTCTCAGGGTCAGCAATGGGAGGATCACATGATTGGCCTTTGTTATTTTTCCACTATCTAGCCAATGTGTGAGCTGGTTCAAAAAGCATTCTATGATTGCTTAAAGGGATAGATAGTAAAAAAAAAAAAAAGAAAAAAAAAAAAAGATTTTGTCATCATTCATTCACCTTGATGTCGTTCTGAACCTGTATGAGTTTTTTCCCCAGTGGAACACACATTTAAACATTTTGAAGAATGTTTATGCTTCACTTCAAGAAAAATATCATATACATGCATCAAATATATACATGACAGAAAAATACATTCAAACATTTGAGTTTGATGACAAAAGTTGGCAAAATCAGCCATTTATTGAAATGAAAAAGAACTAAATGTGAACAAACATTTTGATGGAATTTTTAAGTAACAGCTCAAACTTCAATATACCGAACATATATGTCATTGCAGCTACAGTGTCATACAGATTTGTTCATGGACAAAGTCTCACACAGCCTCGCAATGCAAGCCCAAAGGGGGAACAAACAGACCAGGAGCTACGGAGGAACATAGCAGACTCGTCATCACACAATTCTTTTCAGACAACTCTGAAAATGATATACATATTCTTACAGCATTTACACCTTTCGAAACAATAGTACCACAAAAATAAAACAATTTATGGATGACAGACAAAGTGAAAACAAACCACATGAAGCTGAATGGTGTCATGATACTGCTGGAACAATATGACCAGTGCAAGGCTGACCAAGACAAATCGGGCGGGGGAGATCTCGAGAATAGACTAAAACATGCTTCTGCTGCGCCTATTCACAGAGGTTTATATACATACAGCTCATATCCATCATAAGAACAAGTTAAAAAAAAAGTGACAGAGAGAGAGGATCAAAAGAAGTCTAAACACACTGCAGCTCTGCATTCATACCAATATGGCTTCCTGGCTCAGTGCACCCAAGTGAAATAAGAAGCACCTGAAAAGTGCTGGCATCAAGACGTTTGATAGACAGAGGCAGAAAGAAAAAAGGAAATATGAGTTGTTCTCAGCACAGAGATGGCATTGACGCAACCATCTTTCAAGAGGTTCCTACATGAGCTGCATTACCTTGAGGCCGCAAAGAGGCTGAGTGTCTAAGGAGTCATGCAGATTCAGAAGACAGCGAACACTGAATGCAAAAAAGCGACTAAAAAGAGCCGTCAACTCAAAAGGCTTTGCCATGTAATCTTTAGAGATTTCAAAGACAGTGCATGGATTGCAAAAATAAGCAGGTACCAAGTCCAGATTGGGTTGGAGAGGTCTGCTCCCTCTTTTAGACATGGGAGACTTTCTGAGACTCCCGCGCCTGCTTGATGCTGTAGAGCCACTTAATGACCCGGGCGTTCCGTTCAACGGCAGAAATTCCATAGGGAACACGCTCCCCGGCATCGTCTTCTTCATCGGTCAGGTCGTCGTTGCTATGCCGTGACTGCTCACAGTCCGAGCTGATCATGCTGGCACTACGGAAGTTGAGTGACACAATGTCAGAGTTCGCTCGGGCAAAACTTTCCACACCTACGCTCTCCAGCTCCTCGGGATCCAGCCCACAATAGTTGAAGAAGCGCTCCACGTCTGCGCCGGCCCGAGCATAGCGGTCACTCAGGTCTGATTTGGAGCGGTGCAGAGAGGGCCTGCGGGCCACAGAATTGCCCAACTCCAACTCTGTAGCAGTGCTGGCCAGTGTCTCTCTTTCAGGGGAGCGGGGTGCATTGTCACAAGCAGCCAAGGCCTTAGCACTAGGCTTGGGCGGCAGTGGTGGTGCGGAAGAGCTGCTGCTACGGGCCGCTCTCAGTGGCTTGCCATTGCACATGCGGCGAATGTCTGAGGAGCTGTGGGAGGCATGCAGCGTCGAGCGCTCACCAACGGCCTCGCACGACCTTTCCTCCAGCAGCCTGCGACTCAGGTTCAAGTTGCCTCCCTGTGGACTGTGTCGACCTTGCGTGGAAGATGGTACCTTGAGCGAGTCGGTAAAAGAACGACATCCAGGTTCCGTCAGCTCGGATGAGCGATGCGGCGCCCAGCTGCGTGCCCCGACTTTGTAAGACGTCCCCTTGGCAGGCCCCTCGGATGAGGAGGAGCTGTTCAAGATGTTCTTCAGGATCTCCAGGTTGAGATTCTCCCGTTTGGTGGTGGTTGCGCAGGTGTCCGACTTGGCATTGTTGTTGGAGGACTTCAAGCCAGATCCCACACCACCATTCCTCTTGACAGGAGCTGGGCAGACAGGGGGCTTGGCTAGTACCTGTGGCTTGATGGGTTCCTGCTTAGCGTTTATGACCTCCTGGCTCTTTACGTACTTGGCCTTGTCGGCCTCGAGACGCTCCACAGCACTCAACCGCTTCGGGTTTTGCTCAGTCTGGCGTCGGAAGTAGTCGGGCCCCTTGTTGAGGATGCGGAGTGGGACGGCAGACGCAAAGGCCCCACCCTGGACGGCGGGCTTGCTATCTGCCTGCAGCGTCTCGGTGGGCATCTCTGCTGGTCTCTCGGCGGCCGCCGTGGTGGATTCCGCAGTGGACTCTCGTCAAGGGGCAGCCTGGAGGCACACACATCAAGCCAGATGACCGGACTATTAATCCCGTCTCCACTGGCTGTCAGCAGTGAGGCCTCATATTCACAGCTCATTAATTATCTCCCACTTCCTCCACGCAGCCAGGCCCCGCACAACGGAAAAAGAGAGCACTCAGCTCCAGTCAGTGTCAGCACAACCTGTCAGACTCAGCCAGCTGGGAGGGAGCACCAGATGATTGTGGGGAAAAGCCTTGTCGCTGCTCATTTGTTCCTGGCCAAGGCTGAGGACCTGAAACACACAAGGACCAACCATGTTAAAGGAGCAGGTGACATCACATTCCTAGCAACAACAGGAAGAGCTGCGACTCTGGCATACTGTTGGCTGATGATGTAAGCACGAGAAAACAACTAATAGAAACACGTGTACACCTAAATATCAGTGGAATTAACACATTTGGGTGGTGGTGGCGGGTGTGTATGAGAAAGTTTTTAAATATAGAAATATTTATATGCACTAGTGCACCGTGGTTCCTTATGTATAACTGCAATGTTTATCCTTATGTGATACATTTATATATGTTACCATCGTTCGTCTGTGTAATCAATAAAGCAAAAGAGAATTTGATAAGCCATCTTTCTTATATATTGCTTATAATCATTTCATAACAAAATGATATGAATATATTCTCATAAGTCAAAAGAGGCTAATTATTCTCATAAAACTGCAAAGACACAATGTTTCAGCAATGTAAGTGTGAGTGTGCATGTTTTCTTTTTGCAGACAGAGAAATATAGACGTATGATCAGGATTCGTGTTCCTGCCAAAACCCCGAGGCTGTTTGCAGGGGGACAAGAAAAAATACATTGAAGAGAGGAAGAAACACAAAATGGTGGAAAACTTTCCTGGTCTCATAAATAAAAGTAATTACAGAGGTTCTTCGACAATAGTGTTGGTGGTGGGCACAATAGTTCTGGAAAGTGCTATGACAAAGCAGTTTATGGCACAACAGTCTGTAACAATCTTCTGATTCAATCTAAGGGCTGCAGAGATTATTAAAAAATAAATAAACATAAGCATAGCCATTACTGAGACGGCAAGTGAGTTTCTTTTTTGAGCTCAGGCCTATTTTATTTTAAGCCTTCACATGCCTAGGGTCTTTAGCTCAATAGGTTTATGCTGTCTTGCTTATATAGCTTCACACTTATTTAAATAGCATATCTGTACCACTTTGTAGTGTAGAAAATGGTCTGTTATTTCAAATAATGTTTTGTTATGCAGTCAATGTATGTTGACCATTACAAGGTCTAGTTAACTTCAAACCTGTGTAAAACATTGTCTTACAATGGCACCCACATCAGAGTTATTACACACAGTTCTTCATTTCTGTGCATCCCGACCTCAGGCATACAAATCCACTGATTACAAGCTCACAAGGGATTTTATTGTTGTATAGCAATCAGCTTTGCAGAGATATCATATAATTTAATTACAAATACTCCCATTAGCAAGTGAACCTCACTGGACCCAAAAGCACTTTTTTCCCGCCCAAGCACTTAAAACCTCCCCAGGGTCACTTTTGGGTTAGATAGAGTTTTTGCAAAGTCTTAGAAAAGTCAGAGGAGGAAGTATTGGAGAAAACAGAATAAGATGGCCTTTTAAAAGGACAATTTAAACTCCTTCATCTGTGGCATGCTGTCAATTTACACAGAAATAATTTTGAAAAACACACTTAAGGTTATGTACTTATAATGGAAGTCTGAGGCAAATTTTTTTTTTACATATATTGAGCTTTTTATAAGCGTTTATAAGTCTAAATTTATTTTCAGTGGCAATTGACAACATGTCACAGATGTTCTTTATAAAGCTTATCAAAATATTTCTGGTCAAAAACACACACATACAAAACAACTTCTACAAGTAATTGGAAGTGAATGATGTACCACCCAGAGAGTCAAAACATAAAAGCACTGGTCCGGAGTAACCTTGAGTAATGCTATCTAAACTAACCTATTTTGCCATTTGCGGGACATTGGTGGGACAAAAACAACCATAAACAGCAAACAACTTTGCAGTCACTTTATTGATGATTTAGCTAGACATAATATGAGCAGACTGTGATGAAAACTGTGCTCTTTAATAACGCTATCAACAATGACTGTTTATATGTTTCAGGAAGGGGTCAATGATTATAAACCTAAACCGCATATGGGGAATGGGCCTTTCTCTTCAAACATAATTACAGAACACAGAGGAGACTAAAACACAGGTCATGTAGAGAGTAATAATTGTAACGATCTCCCCAAACGCCCCCGCAAAGAAAAAAACCCCCAGTCGCCTTTAATCCTCTGTGTTGAGTGCTGTAGCCCCCTCCCCCAAAACAGAGTAAGCCCAGCTGTGGGACTTCCGCCAAGAGCCATCTCACATCATTTCATCTCCCTCCAAAGCCCTTCTGAATTATCAGAGCCAAAGACAATCCCCACGGCTTTCTCAACGCACCCGCTCACCCTTATCGCCCATGTAAGAATAACACTTTACCTCACCGCACCATCCCTGTGAGTTGGCCTGCTGAAATGAAACAGCGATTTGTAAAACGGATATTAGAACGACTTGCTACACGATCAGTAATACATGCAGACCTGGTAAATATTTCTTTCTGCTCTTAAAAGACCACAATGAGCTCTGTGACTTTAGTGGTAAACTTTGCAATAAGATTCAATTTGTAAACATCAGTTAATGTATTAGGCATTATTAATTAACAAATAAGCAATATGTTACAGCATTTATTAATCCAGTTTAGTGTGAATTTATATAAATATATATACACATACACACATTATTACATTGACTTTAAATATACATTACATAAATATATATACACATAGTGCTTGGTATCGAAACAGATGTCCCAATTATTAATTTAATCTTAATTCTCGATTTTCTATATACAACTATTATTACTTATAATATATATATATATTACACTTTTGATTATTATTTTTGTTGTTTTTGACGCATGTATCCTTGTGAAATTTCACCTTATTTATTGCAATACAATTCTCAGATTTCAATTTTGATACCACAGCTAAAACTATTAACTAATATAAATTTCAAACATTATAAAAAGGCAAGTAAACGGCCATCAATAAAAAAAGAACAAATAATCAAACTACAATCAATAGCACAAATAAATAAATACAATAGAACGAACATACAAATGAAATATACAGTGCTTTTCAGGTTTTTCAGGTCTAACAGTAGTTTATTATGCTGCTGTCACTTTAAGACTAATGCCTGGATACAATACTGTTAGTATGCTGTTAGTTAAAATCGTGAGACGTAGGTCAGTGGAACTAAAGGAAGTGCAAGGTCTAGTGATAGTGATAAACGGTGTTGGGGAAAGTTACTTTTAAAAGGTAATGCATTACAATATTTCGTTACTCCAAAAAAAAGTAACTAATTGCGTTACTTAGTTACTTTTTATGAAAAGTAATGCGTTACTTTAACGTTACTTTTTATTACCTGGGCTGGCTTGCTTGTTTGTTTTTTAATAACAACAAAAAAAGTTGTTTTTTTTGGCAAATGTTGAGGCCCTTTCAAACCATAAGTGAAATGAATAAGCCTCAGGCTGAAGGAAATGCATATTTACGCCTGTACAGTAGAGGGTGCAGCTCAAACAAACATTTCAGCTGCTGCCATTCTGGATTAAAGAACAATAGGATACAGGAGAAGGAAGTTCAACACTCTTATTTCTAAATCTAATCTAAAGTAATTTTTGTTTATTAGTATGGTTGAATTAGCTCCTTGAAGGTAAGCAGCAATGACATTGGTTAATAAAGTGAGATTAAATACATAGTGTATTTGTGTAATTTTATATAGTTAATTATAAAAGTTTCGCATAAAATTCTGAGATTACATTTACTGTTTTTATTCATTTTGAGGAATACTGAATGTTTTCGTGGAATAAGATTAATTGTTCACACTGTAAGCATGTTCACATTTATTCTAGAACTAAAATAACCATCATGTTTACACAGCGAACACAACACATCCTCATGTTATTTCTCTCTCTATATATAAATATCTTCTTTCTCTGTCAGTCAATAAATGTGAAAAAGTAACTAGCGTTACTTATTTGAAAAAGTAACTTAGACATTTTGTTGTAAATTGAAAAAGTAATGCGTTACTTTACTAGTTACTTGAAAAAGTAATCTGATTACGTAACTCAAGTTACTTGTAATGAGTTACCCCCAACACTAGTGATAAATACTGATAGTGTAAAATATTGATCTTGTACTCTACTCTAGAGGCTAGCAAACTGCTAATCATGGTTCACAGCTGTGGCAAACTAAAAGCTAAATTAAAAGCTAATAACAAAAAAATCCATATACTGATGCAACCTAATAACCTATACAAACTTGCTGTTTAAGAAGCAAGTCAGCACAGGGCAAGGATGTGTCAGCACTCACCAAAAGGACAGAAAACTGCTTGTTATTTCATGAGGTCTTTATGGTTTCTTACGTACAGCTAGCAGATCATAAAGCACATCTGTATCAACGAGTGCGTTTCCCATGATAGGAATGTTCTCTCAGCTGTACCAGTGTTATACTCTATGACCACGTAAGCCACATTCCAGTGCGTCTCGGGTCATAAAAATCACAGAAATGCGCAGAAAATAAGCCACATCAGCTGAGCCGTTTGGCAATGTAGCAAGCAACACTACCATTAAAACCATCTTGTTGTCTGAGAAGCCAAACTTTTTTCTTTTAATTCCAAACACATGATGATCACGTGAACAATTTTTACTCAGGCAGTTCAAAACCAAAACTTACAAAAAAAGAAAGAAAAGAAAACTGCTGCTTTAAGGCCACATGACTACTTCAAACAACAATATAAAACATCCTGCTCGTAGATGTGCGTTACAACTAGATTCACGAGTCTGTTGCGTTTATCAACTCTGAGATGATATTAAGCCCCAATGTCCCGCTGGGTGTATTGGGTTACAAAATCATGTATAAAACAAAGAGAAGATTGGATTTCAGCAAAAATCCTTTTATTACATTTGCCTTAAGGCTCGTCCTCTAGTTACATTTCTCAGGGTGAGAAGAACTACAGCATGATCCTGCTTCACAGCAAAACTGCTTTATTAAACCTGCTTTGGTTTGGCGTCAAAACATTCTTACTAAATATTTCACACACATATATATATATATATATATATATATAAAAACATACGTACAAAATTATTTGTTACCAGGGATCTGTCACTACAGTCTAGTCTAT